CTATTTCTGCTCTTTTTTGGTTTCCATTGGCAGAGGATATCTTTTCCATCCCCCTATTTTCAGCCTGTGTGTGTCTTTATAGGTGAAGCGTGTTTCTTGTAGGCAACAGATAAATGGGTCATTTAAAAAAATCCATTCTGCCACATACGTCTTTTGATTGGAGAGTTTAGTCCATTTACATTCATTGTTAATACTGATAAGTAAGGGCTTACTCTTACTATCTTGTTATTTCTTTTTTGGTTGTTTTGTGATCTTCCTTTTCTTTTGTTCCTATCTTCTTTTTAGTGAAAGAGATTTTCTCTGATAATACGGTTTACTTTTTTTGCTTTTTACATTTTGTGTATCCTTTGTATGTTTTTTTTTTATTTGAGTTACCATGAGGCTTGCAGATACTATTTTATAACCTGATTTTAAGCTGATAACAACTTAACACTGCTTGCAGAAACTAACAAGCAAAAATAAGGCTAGTGAAGACTCCACAGTCTAACTTTGTCCCCTGCTTTTTAACTTTATGTTGTTTCTATTTATATCTTATTGTACTATGTCTTGAAAAATTGTTGTAGTTCTTCTTCTTCTTCTTATTATTATTTTTTGAGACGGAGTTTCACTCTTGATACCCAGGCTGGAGTGCAATGGCACAATCTCGGCTCACTGCAACCTCCGCCTCCTGGGTTCAGGCAATTCTCCTGCCTCAACCTCCTGAGTAGCTGGGATTACAGGCACGTGCCACCATGCCCAGCTAATGTTTTGTATTTTTAATAGAGACGGGGTTTCACCATGTTGACCAGGATGGTCTTGATCTCCTGACCTCGTGATCTACCCACCTCGGCCTCCCAAAGTGCTGGGATTACAGGCGTGAGCCACCGCGCCCAGCGTAGTTATTATTTTTGATAGCTTCATTGTTTAGTCTTCCTACTTAAGAATAGACATCACAGTTATATAATTATAATATGCTGTGTTTTCCTGCGTACTTATTATTTCCAGTGAGTTTTATACCTTCAGGTGATTGCTTATTGCTCATTAGTGTCCTTTTCTTTCTAATTGAGGTACTCCCTTTAGCATCTCTTGTATGGTATGTCCAGTGTTGATAAAATCTCTCAGTTTTTGTTTGTCTTTATTTTTCCTTCATGTTTGAAGGATATTTTCACCAGATATATTATTCTAGGGTTAAAGCTTTTTTTCCTCCAGAACTTTAAATTTGTCATGCCACTCTCTCCTGGCTTGTAAGTTTTGCACTGAAAAGTCTGCTGCCAGGCATATTGGAGCTCCATTGTATGTTGTTTCTTTTTCTTATTGCTTTTAGGATCTTTTTCCTTAACCTTTGGGAGTTTGATTATTAAATGCCTGTAGATAGTCTTCTTAGGACCCTGGCTTAGGGTTTTTTTTATTCCCTTTCTCCCTTGTATCTCACATCCATCCATTCTGCCCTGAACCCCAGTGATTCCACTTAACACAAGTATCTTGATTAGTAAGGAACCCTCCCTAATTCATTCTGTGAAGCCAGCATCACCCTAATACCAAAACCAGGAAAGGACACAACCAAAAAACAAAACAACAGACTGATATCCTTGATGAACATAGATGCTAAAATCCTTAACAAAGTACTAGCTAACTGAATCCAACAACATATCAAAAAGATAATCCACCATGATCAAGTGGGTTTCATACCAGGGATATGCAGGGATGGTTTAACATACACAAGTCAATAGAAGTGATACACCACATAAACAGAATTTAAAACAAAAAATCACATGATCATCTCCATAGATGCAGAAAAAATATTCAACAAAATCCAGCATCCCTTTATGACCAAAACCCTCAGCAAAATTGGCATACAAGGGACATACCTTAATGTAATAGAAGCCGTCTATGACAAACCCACAGCCAACATAATACTGAATGGGGAAAAGTCAAAAGCATTCCCTCTGAGGATGGGAACAAGACAAGGACACCCACTCTCACCCTCCTCTTCAGCATAGTGCTGGAAGTCCTATCCAGGGCAGTCAGACAAGAGAAAGAAATAAAAGGCATCCAAATCAGTAAAGAGGACGTCAAACTGTCCCTGTTTGCTGATGATATGATCATTTACCTTGGAAACCCTAAGGACTCCTCCAGAAAGCTCCTAGAACTGATAACAGGATTCAGCACAGTTTCCAGAATCGAACTATAAGTTTATAATAAATAATAACTATACCAGTTTCCACTGCTTTTCTAGAAAATCAGAATCTCTCCTTTTTAATGTATCTGAGTTCATGTGTGTTCAGTAGGAAGCCAGGATACATTATCTGTTTTCTGTTCTTTCCTTCTCCTTCGATTTCTTTCTCCTCCTCTTCCTCTTTCTTCTTTTGGTAGAAATATTACCTGAGTACACATTTCTCTAGAAAAGAAGTTAAATTGCTATTTAACTCGAGCTGATAGTTTCTGTCTTAAATTATGACTTCTCTTATGTTGCTGTATTTTAAGTTCAGAGTTCGATTAGCAAAATTAGTTTTGTTTTCCTGTGCCGAGTGCCTTTTAAATAAAGATTTAACCAATAAACTGCTTTGTGAGATTCCATTTGTCTCAGCATGCATTCTATTTCTCTCTGGTTTGGTCAGTTAGAGATTTTGACAATACCTAGGACTTTCATCACTTCTACAAACTCTTCTTTTTAACATTACCATTAAAATCCCAAACTTAATCTCGAAATATCTTAATCTGTGAATGTTGGAAACTCTAAAATATACTCTCAACATACTACTTATAGGAATAATGTCCATCTAATTCAAAACAGGGAGTCTACTGGTTCCCTTAGGCTGGTGTGCATGACTCCCTTGGTGAGCATGTTTCCAGATTAATGACAAATGGAAAATAAACATGTTTCCACATGCTAGATGTTATGAGTTCAAAAACTAATTTTTTTCTTGGAAAGTAATTACTTTTATTCTGATTTAATGTCCATTTGCCTTTTTAGTATTAACATGTTATTTCTTTCACTAAATCATGGTGATAATAGTAAATAGGGTCCTCACCAATATCTATTATGTTGTATTGGAAACATAATTTTAAAGTATTTTCATTATTATTTATTATCTGCATATGTTTAAAATCCATTATTTTATTTATATTGCTTTTCTACAAAAATTCCAGACCTAGAAGATGTGGACAGGAGATTAAACTGCAAATACATTTACCACATTTTAAAGTTTTCTTACCAAATCCTGATGGAAAAATAGGTATGGCCTGACACATTTTTATGGAAAAAAAAAGGAAACTTTTTGGAGTGTTCCAACAAGTTTCTCACCTTAATGCTCCTATCTCTTGAAGAAATCTTTCTGAGAACATTGGTACGCAACAGTAAATTTTACAACAGTAAGGATGGCTTGTGTCTATCGGTCAATTATCAGAAATGGGAAAATCTCCTAGATATTTAAAGAAGAGAACAGAGTTTATTTGATGTATTACTTAAGCTCAAATTTTATTCTGGGTAATATTATATAATATATTATAATGCTCATTAGGCAGTATGCATGTATAGGTTAAAGATTTTGAAAAAACAAACGTGTCTATTATTGGGCCCCAAATCAAGTTCCCTGAGATCTCAGACCCTGGAAGCCTCAAGGATACTCTTCCTCTTGATCCCCAATACAACTACAGTCTCACCATCATTAGCTCATATTTGATATTCTATGTTATTTTATATCATATGTACTTACTCCTAAACTTATCATTCAAAACTCTATGTATTCATCTTAATATAAGTGACATAATATTTTGTCTATTTTTTGTGCCTTTCTTCTCATCACCTGCAGGTTCCATTATTGAAACACATCCACAGTGACATGTGTAGCAATAATTTATGAATATGTCAAAATTCATTCATCCATTTGTATGCTAATCCATTCTAATGTTAATTTGGGTCATTTCTACTTGTTTTCCCACTAAAGATAACTCTGGGAACTATCTTGTACATGTCTTCTGGTGAATGTGTAAGTACTTCAGTTACTGGATATCATACATAGTACCTGTAAGTTTAACTTTACCAGATAATCCCAAATGGTTCCCTCAGGAGTGTATAAGAGCCTCCATTTGCCCCACATGTTTAGCATTATTTGTTATTATTAAATTTCTAAAATTATCTGTTAGTAGAAAACGTTATTGTCAAGCTATGTAATGGTTTTATTTGCATTTAATTAATTATTAATATCATTTATTTGTAACTATCATTACCATAAAACATAAAGAAATACTAAGCATATTTTTATGCTCAGTTGAAAAAGCCACTGTAATTCCATCATATTATCATGAAAAATGGGATGGATGACATGTCACCTGAATTTGTCAAACTAGAGGCAAAGAAGCTAGGATTTGCACTCTTGGAGTCAGTTAATTGGCTATGGCCAGCACTATAGGGGGTGATATAAGCCCTCAGATGTTTCTCTGTCTGTTTAAGCAATGAAGCTACTGCTGCGGAAAGGTCAACTCCCACAGAAGAGTAACAACTGGGCCAGGAGAGAGAAAAACACACATTGAAGCCAGCAGAGAGGCACACAGAATTAGTGACAGGCATTTCAGGGCATCTTTCTACACAGAGCAGACAACATCCTCTACAGCAGATTCTAAGCAGCTTGCTGAGTGGAAAAGGAGTGCTATCCAAAGTGCTCAGCTTATCAGGGGTTCTTTATCGCTGTCTTTCAGCTGCTGTATTCCCAGTTGTCAGCAACATGTTGACTGGTCACATCAGTGAAGACATAGAAACATGCATATTAAATATGAGGATAACTTCAAACTGCAAAAATAACACACACATAACTGGTCAGATTAAGTTTTAAAATGCTCTAAATAGGCATGACTGGCAGAAATCAAAAAGAAAAATTTAAAATCTTTTATCAATTATTTAAAAATTCACCTATATAATACAGAAGGGAAAACTGACATAAGATAAATTGATGGGTTTTAATTGACCACGTAGGCCTTTTCCGCCCCGCCCCCCCGCCCCCCAGCGCCGCTCGGGTTGCACCGCCCTTGAGCGGAGCTTTCCGACTCCTGCTAAGCTAGCGCCGTGGTCCTCTCCTGTCAGCCGCCATCATGATTATCTACCGGGATCTCATCAGCCACAATGAGATGTTCTCTGACATCTACAAGATCCGGGAGATCGAGGATGGGCTGTGCCTGGAGGTGGAGGGGATGATGGTCAGTAGGACAGAAGGTAACATTGATGATTTGCTCATTGGTGGAAATGCCTCCGCTGAAGGCCCCAAGGGCGAAGGTACCCAAAGCACAGTAATCACTGGTGTCGTTATTGTTATGAACCATCACCTGCAGGAAACAAAATTTCACAAAGAAGCCTACAAGAAGTACATCAAAGATCACATGAAATCAATCAAAGGCAAACTTGAAGAACAGAGACCAGAAAGAGTAAAACCTTTTATGACAGGGGCTGCAGAACAAATCAAGAACATCCTTGCTAATTTCAAAAACGACCAGTTCTTTACTGGTGAAAACATTAATCCAGATGGAATGGTTGCTCCATTGGACTACCGTGAGGATGGTGTGACCCCATATATGATTTTCTTTAAGGATGGTTTAGAAATGGAAAAATGTTAACAAATTTGGCAATTACTTTGGATCTATCACCTGTCGTCATAACTGGCTTCTGCTTGTCATCCACACACCAAGACTTAAGACAAATGGGACTGATGCCATCTTGAGATCTTCATTTATTTTGACCGTGATTTATTTGGAGTGGAGGCATTGTTTTTAAGAAAAAAATGTCATGTGTGTTCTCTAAAAATAAAATGCATTTAAACTAAAAAAAAAAAAA